ATCAAAATTAACGTTGTTATAATTAATTTTAATTTATACAGCTGATCAAGAAATGAGTTCGAATATTCATAATATTTTTGTGAATATAATTTAAAGAAAATAGAATCTAGGTATTTTAAATATTAAAAGGAGCATTAGAATTGCATATTACGTGCATTATGTGCACTTTTGCGCCTCTATATTTTTCATAAAATCCCTACTGACGAGATTAGGTTCGTTTACAAGGCTCATAATTGGATTATTGATCCTCATTGACACTCAAATTTCTTTCAAATTTCTAATTCATTGTTTTAGTATGTAGGAGCACTTCTTTCGCGTATTAAACAACATTAAACAACAAGAAATCACCGCTCGTACGAAACCGTCGACTTTCGTTCTGAATTAACTGCATACACCCTGCACGATATTACGTCGAAGCGTCACGATCGCATATCGATGCACTTCACGGAGTGTCCCGTTGCATCTGACATTATTAGTACTGGGACCAAAGTGCTCTCTGTTCGATAAAACGCGTGTACGCGCGCACGTGAGATCGGATTAACCATCCAAGTGATATGGAGCCGACGATGGTCTTCTGTTCTATGATAATAGTTCGTTTCAACTGGCACAATGAGAATGTACAGAGGGCAGAAAAAGAGAGGAGCAGAGAGGAAGAGAGACGGACGAGTAAAAGAGAACTGAATCACAGATAATGGTCACGACCCACGACGCGGCCAGCACTTGTACATCCAACACTTGTTGCTGAGAATTTCAGTTGGATCGTCTCTAAAAAAAAATTGCCAAAGTTTCGCAGAGTTACCGACGATGATCAATCGGAAGTTTGTTGAAAAGGATACTGTTCCCTATGTGGTTTTGACACAATGGTGTTCACGTACGAGGTTTTTCAAAGGCGCGTTTTTTCGCTTTGGAGGAACGATGTTAATTGAATGGAAAATCAAATCAAACGTTACGCATAAATATGTATTTATTATTATACGTATTACTTGAACTGTATTTATTACCTAAACTAAGAGAATACTCCTGAAAACGAACAAATTCATTTTCCACGTAATTTCCTGAATTAAAATTCGATTTTCTCGAAAATTAAACTTTGGAGGGATAGAAAAATTTATTCTTTTACAAAGAATGATTTCCTGTTTGCTTGTACACAACTTTAGGCCTCCATATATCCCCCCATTTATATCACAGTAGCATGTCGAACGCAAAGTGCACGCACATTCGCGTTATAAAATGTTAAAAACTGCGTAATAATGTAATCGTTTACATTACGAGACTTCTCGAAAGATTTCGACGTAGCAAGCAACATTCATTGAAATGCAACAGTATCGGCCACCCTTTTCATGCTGGGAAATTACTTTCACCCTGAAATTATTCGGCCCGCGCTCCAGGCTATTCGTTTAAACTACAAGCGCTTCGGAAAAGTCGGCTACCACGTCTACGACTCGTTTTTGCGCTTATGGGGTGTTTCTGAATTTGTTGCCGACAATTTGGAGGCTAATTTCTGGCCAGATCGTTTGTTACCATAGACGGGGCTATGTAAGTACAATGAAACAGAAGGGAATTTGCGGATTTTCAACGACTCTGAATTAAACTACTCGGCGAGAAATTAAACCAGTATCTCTGGCTGGTTTAGTTTGTATTTCGAAAAAAAATTAGGAAAATAGAAGATAGGACGTAACATGAAGTGCAGACGCTTAATAATTTTGACCCTTCAGGACTTTTTGATATTTATTTCATTATCTTTGATGGAAAATAATGAATGCTAGATGAAAGTGTATCCATTGTTAGTCTGATTATCATGTGAAAAGTTTTGAAATATTCTCTCAATCCAGTATTTTGTTTTTAAAATAAAGACAAAAATATTGTTATATCTTTTATATTGTTCTCTTTTAATAATCCGCTCCTAAAACATTTTATTACCGTATGGATATTTTATGAACCTCATAAAATGAAATTTAATCTACTGTTAATTATAAACGATGTCGAAGTAGATTGTATAATATAAATCAGATATTTAATATTTCAAGAATTTACCAAAAATTTGAATAATACTCTTTTAAAATTCAAATGTACTGTAGAAAAGCGAACATTTATAGTCCGCAGATTACTGTCACTATTGATGTTATATTAACATTTGACAAAAAATCTTTTCAAATTATCTTCAAGATAATACACTCCCTCTTCTTCTTAATCGCAAATCATAGATCAAGTTTTATCATTTTTAGAAAAGATTGGTCTATTCTTTTAGCAAATGTAACATTTTCTTTTACTTTCACAAAAGGCGTGTATATTTTCTTAATAATTAACGAAAAGAACTTCTTCACAGCTCAAAAAAGATTCGTTCTTGGAACTATTAAGTATTAAAAAAAAAAAAAATGCACGTTGCGGCTAAAAAATCCTTCAACGTCGAAAATTTGCATTTTATCATTTGTATATCAAAGTACCATGCTTCGTGTATGCAATTTACATGTAGCAAGGGATCGAAATATTTCAAAGATTCGAAACGTTCGAACGGTTAGTCTGGTCACGATTTGTTGAATTACGAGAATTCGTTCTTCGGCACAACTTTCCCCATATTAAATTTCCTCGTCATTACCTCCATCTGCTAGTGATAAATCGGACCGTTAATAGTAATTTGAAGTCAAACGCATTGGCTGCAATCGGAGAAAAGTTTCATCGGTTGACCAGTGATTTAAATCTGTCTTCTAGTTTGTTTCGTGTCTCCAACTTTGCTTGAATAACTTTGCTTCTCAAAGTTATCCTTGCAAACTGAGTCGCAAAAACTGAACTTATTTTTCTGACAAAATGACTCTTTTCTTGCCTCTTTTCATTCCATTTTCTCGTGTTTAGGATTCAAATGTGCGTGTTAAATTACGAGAAAGAGCACGAAAGCATTCCTATCTTTGTAGTAATGGAAGTCTTTTCAAATTCATGTTAGTATTCATACGAGTTTTTTGAAATTTTTACTCCGTAAGTGCCATGAAACGACGTTTCATCCTCTGCCTGAAGCATTTAGTCGAAAGACATTGTCTGAAACTTTAGACAGCCGTGATTTTGATGATATACTACAGATTCTTTCTCTATTTTCACGTACAGTGCCATTTTTTAATAAATTTTTCTTTCAAAAATAGATTGTCCATTAGATATTATAGATATATTAATGGAAATATTATCCCGATAATCAAACTCAATATTGGGTTGTTAGTTGTTAGTCAAGCTTTATGTTTAGTATTATAATTTGTTATTAGAAACACAGAAGAATATATTTAGAAAAATGTATGATGATTTACGAAGATATTTAAATATTTGTCATGGAAAATATTTTATGAATTATTATAACAAGGTACATAATAAATTTTTATGAATTTATAAGATACATGATTATATTAATAAAATTTGAAATTAATTGGTATATGTATTTAGAAATTACAATTTATTTATTAATGAAACTGTCTTATAATTCTACACAACTATTTTCTTAGATTTATTTCAAATATTAAAAATATAATCATAATAAATATGTCTTATTGCAATGTTGATGAAGTTTCAAAATATGAAAAAAAAATATATATATATATAATGCATATAATTTTAAAAATTTTCTTTAAAAAAAATGCATATTATATTTCCAATAAAATTCCATGTTATTTTCTTTAAAAAAAACCCTATATATATTATACATGCCTCCATATTTTTCTTTTTTTTTTCATTAAAGCATTTCTTTGTCAGAGACTGAGTGTTGGTCCCCAAAGTCCATTATCTTCTTTTCCACTCTCTTATATTATTATGCCGAAAACTCACTTCTGCTATAAAAACGTAAGGGAGCATCAACGGAGCATCGGAAAAGCATACGATCGATGCGAAAGACTTGCAAGCTCTGTCCTTACCTACAAAGAAAACAGTTCCTTTTAATTAAAGTTTTGCAAGCTACAGATCATAATATTTTTCTACTTTGGAAATAAGAAATTGAAAATTAAAATATATATTTTTCGTTATTAATTAATTTTTATGAAATTAATTCAGTATTAATTTCATAAAAATTTAAACAAGTATACATGGCAATATAAATATGCTTGCAATCATTTTTTTAATATATTCTATATCAATGTTTTCTTTGTAGAAAAAATTTAATTCTTTCTGTGAAATTGAAACTAATAGATATAAATGAAACTTTTTTTTCAAAAATATATATGATTATTTTACATAATCTCAATTTAGCGATTTTGCAGTAAAAATTAAACTAGTTACTTTCTAGTAATGTTATTTGAAACTAATAGCGCGCGGTCACGTGACATATAGTCACGTGATCTAATACCACCGAATCTAGATGTGCATGAAGAGGTTAAGTATTTGAAATAACTTTCCTTAGGTTTCGTTTCAATTATTTGTATCATTAATCAATCGTATCAATGTTATCTAATCAATATGAAAATTCGATACATATCCAAAGTATATATTTATGAAGTAACTATCTTTTACTCACATTAGCTTTTTACACAGCGTCGAATTTCTTATGCAATTAGAATGCACGCGTACACGGCGTCTCTTCATTTAAGCCCCATTCGTATTCACTTACCGGCAAACTGGAGGTAAACATCAACTTCCAAACCGAGTTCGATAAATTTGCACATCAAACAGGAACCGCAGAAAGTTCCCACGCGAAACAGGAAAGGTTATTCACGTACGTACGGCCAGCGGATCAGGCGTTCCTCGTTCCACAATCCCGCGTTTTTATTTCCTTTTTGCTCTCGAATGTTCAGCACCGAACGCGGCGGTGTTCGAGAAGTTCGATCAAATTTAGCGGCGTGTGCGTGGCGCGAAAAATGCGTCCGCCGAACGGACGCACGCGGACGAGAAAACAACGGCGTAGGGCGTTACGATACGTTACGTCATGTCCCGGATGGTTTTCCGGATAGGGCAGTAATTTGGCGGCGCGGCGCAAGCGCCGCAAGGCGGGTCCAGGTCAACGGCAAGAACCCGGTCTAGTCGTACGACGAACGTCCAACCGACTTGTCAGCGTTCCGACGCTCCGCAAGCCCGCGAATACATTCGCTTCCCCCTCTCTCTCTCGCCAGTGCCAGCTAGGGAAGTTGAAGCAACAGGACGAAGCCCAAACGGAGACTGTCCGTACGAACTGTCCGCGCGAATCTTCTCCTTTCCGAATCTTGGTCGTGCAACCGTTATATTATCGATAACAAACGATACTTTACATCGTTCGGTACGAAGAAAACGGTGACAACTAGACGAAAGTGATTAAAGTTAAGAGACCAGAGGATAGGTTAGGGAATTCAACGACGGTAGGGTGACGAGTTTCGAGCTAGTAACTTTCGATTATCGATAGCTATCGATTTAGTGAATCGAGCGGGCGTCAGTTCCGTTGCAGTGTAACGGTCCGTTTCGGAGCATCGTGGACATTGTTGAAAGTTAAGAAGTAATTCGGTGTATAGTTGAGAAATAATATCGGTGCGACGCGTTAGAGGAACAACAATCGCGGAGTAATAACACGGGGTAGAAAAAAATCGTCGGTAACTTTCTGCCCTTGCGAGTTGTGAACAGAGAACAGCGAACAAAAGTAAGAAATCTTCGCAGAAATTTTCGACGCTAAGAATTCGCCGAACTGATAAACAAAAAGGTGTTTTTACTTTCTGTGCGTCTGTTCCCTCGTGTAAATGTTGTCGAACAACATCGTTGGAATGGGAAACTCGCGGAATTCGACATTCTCGTTCTGTTTGTCTCTCTGAATCTCGGCCCGCTGTCCGTCGTGAGTGCGACAAGGAAAGAGCGACGGGAGAAGCGCGAAACAGATACAGGTCGACGCACCTGTTTCGCTTTCGATCTCAAGTTCGACGCCAGTGCCTCGTCTTCTGGGCAGCTGGAACAGTGTCGTCGAAACGGTAATTAAACTGAAGTGATGTGAACACAGTTCCGGAGTGATATACTCGACGAAGTTTCCCCCGACAAGATAACCATGCAAGGATCGACGATCGATCGAGAGGCAAAGAAATCCAGCGGAAACTGTCGTCCTCCTGCTCGCTGTGCTTCGACGAGAACGTCGCGTGTTACACTTCGTATTGGTATGTGAATTCCACTGATCTTAACCTTAATGTTTCACGTATCATACGATCTTTAACCCTTTCGGGAATTATTATTTCTGCCAATGAAAATTAAACTCGCCTTTGTTATATATATATATATATAATCTTTGTCCTTTTCAATTTTCTATATTATTTCAATAAAATAAATCCGAAATAGATCTAAAGGGAAAGCTGCTAGCACCCTCTTTGCTCTTTTACAAAGGAATAATGCGAAAAGACGTAGATGTTCTGTTTTATGAAAATTTGTTCTCTCTCGTTCTTTTTTTTTTTTTTCAAATGTAAGTTGTGTCCTCGAAAGGGTTAAGGACGAACATAGTTAAGCTGAAATAGAATTGTGTTGGTTTGAAAGGTAAAAGGAAGATTGATGTGTATCGACTTCTCGTAGTTGTCGATGAATGCTCCATATACAGTGTGTTGAGAAAAAGTCGATCTATTGAAGTCGTTCGTTGTATAGAGGGAGAGCTTTAAATGAGTCTTTCGCGCCGATACGCGTCAATGTATGTATGTACATACGTACATACGTGTGTGTGCGTCACATCGGCGAAATTGGACTACATTTCTACGATAATCCTTTAGTCGACACTACTGTAGGGTCGAGACAGTTCCCAATGGCAACCTCGAAAGTGATGTCGAGGTCAGTAGCTCATTAGATGCACAGTATAGAATGTAGGATGCGATTATGCATTGAAGTGTTTGTTAAACTATAATACATTGACGTTACGGAGAGATATTTAGGGAATTCTTTCCATACATAGAGTGCTGTCTTAATTTTATTTATTTATTTCTAGTTTATTGTCTTCGCATAAAATTTATTCTTCGTTGCTTATTAATAAAGCGAGTTAATAAAAGTGTCGTTAACTTTTGCAACAGACTGGCATAATACTAGTTTTCATATCGTTGTAACAGACAATTATAGAGAAAATCAGAATTAACGTCACGGCGTTTAGTAGTTTAAAATTCAGCAGAGTTTAATTTCAGCATTTCACATGCAGTAATTTAAATTTAATATAAACATTTAATAGTCGGTGTATTAGGGTAATTTGATTAACATTACTAATTGTAAGCGTCTGCTGGAACGTAGTCTGGAAACTCAATTAAATCGAACTTCACTCGAGAAATAAGACGATCGATCAGCATCGACAGAGTTCTCGACACTACTAAGAAATATGATAGATCCTTTGATGTCATTATTTACCTGTAAAATTGTTTATTATTGGGAAAAAATACTTCAAGTAGAATTTACTCTCTCGAAGGAATAGAATATATTCTTGTATCTTCTGCATTTGAAATTGGTATCGTAGATGTCAATACTTGCACACTGTACAATAGTATGAGTGAACAGTGGAAGTAGTGTGAATCAATTGATAAATTTCGTTATTTTCTTACTTCATCTTGTGGATGTTCTATTTGAATAACCTTGGAAGTCCATGAATGAATTTATCAAGAAGTAGGTTACACGCCTAGTTAATCAATGATATGAGGTGCGATTAGAAAATCATCGGATTATTACTGTAACTTTATTCATAAAGTATTATTCTATGTTGTAATAATTGTATTTAAAGTAATTTCTTATGCAACATTTCCTCAATATTTTTAAAAACCAAGCTTTCATATTTTTTGCTAGTTTTTATATTTTTCTATTTAGAGAACAAGAATAAATTAGACAAATATGCTAGTTTATTGTTAGCAACAAATTAAAGAAAACATACATTATAGCGAGGAGTTATTGACTTGAAACAAGTAAGGAAAAAACGGTAATATTAATTTTGTCGTTATATAATAATTGAAATAGACTCGGCGACAATCAGTCTATTAAAAGTTTATGTATAAATACTTTTTCTCTTTCAACGAAATGAAATTTGAAAATCTTTGGAACATTTCCATCTAGACAAAATTTATATGAATCGTAAAATCTACTCCTCGAAACAGAGTAAACTCTACTTGAAGTATTTTTTTTTTTTTTTTTTTTTTGTTTTTTTCGGAGGATAGTTACGCGAATAGATTAAAATACGACACGTTGTACGCAACTGCAGCGCGTGTGGAAATATCTTCTGCGAAACAGTTTGAATTTAGATTAGCGATTTAATCATGCGAGGAACATGAATAGCGCGACTTTAACCCTTTCTGTGTACATGAGAGCTTTAAAACAAATGGAAATATCATGGTAATGTTCCGCTATCAATTATATCGCTGGTATAATCCGCACGCGACGGCTTCAAGGACTTTGAAAGCGTTCGCCGCCAATTCGTTGATTGTTCTTTACATTTTGTATTGACGAACAAAGTCCTTGAGGTTCTAACGCTCTTCACTTTTCCACGTTAGTATCGTTGGTATCGTTGTTGTTATCTAGATGAGAAATGGTAGATAGGATTGTTTTTACTGATCGTTAAACGTTGTTTTTTAGTATTTAATCATTTATTTCGTGGACAGTTTTCCAGGAGAAAGATTAATTTTCACAACAATTTTGGATTAAGATAGTTTAAAGTTACTTATCGGATAAATTGTTAAAAATAGGAAGAATCTATTAGTTTCTAAAATATATTTGATGAAATTTCGATGAAACTAAAGGCGATCTCATCGAGACAAGTAATATTTTTGTATAATTATATAGTTTGTTGGAGTAAATGATAATTCAATATCACGGCGAGCAATACTTTCAAAGTTAGAAAGAAGTTTTCAATTCCGAAATCAAACGAAAGAGCAGTTTTACCAACGTGGGGATTTGAAACTATCCTCCTGTAAGAAATAAAACATGCAGCTTACCGTCTTCCACCCCTGCATTTTTAATATCCAATCCATTTTCAAATTTCGAAAGGCATGAATTTTCGAATTTTCAAGTGAATGAAATAGCAGAAAGTATTTGTTTTTTTTTTAAATAAATATTTTTTAGAATTCTATTCTTGCCTTGTACAATATACATCCTTTTGAAGTCGGTAAAAGCTGCGAGTGTGAATAATTGACAAGCCAAGCCACGTCGAATGAAAGTCGGTAGGAAACAAACGTGGGAAAGGAAGGAGATTTTTCTTGCGAGGGTTGGGTTAATGCGATTTTATGAGCGATAAGGGATTATCTGGGCTGAAAGAACGAAAGGGACCGAATGAAATTAAAGCTGCTGCTTCTTTTTCCTTGCTTCGGATCGTAACTTTTTAAGACACCTCGACTCTTTTCAGAGATTTCCGCTTGTATCGCGCTGTCGTCTAATCACGCGATCACACCCACAGACTTACGCTTTCTCGCGATACTTTCCTAATTACAGAGATGTTCAATAGTTTTCTTCTTTTTCGGAGATAAATCACGAAATGATAATCGAATGAGTCGTGCACGATTCAAAGTTATTGGTATAAATTAAAAAAAAGAAAGAAAAAAGAAAATTGATTCAATGTACAAAAAGATGAGAAAATATTCAAAGTCGAATATGAATTATAACATTTAGGTTTCGTTTCTTTAACTCAGCTGCTAAAAATATAAAATTGCACATGTGAACTGACGTGAAATATTTCTTATATAGTTAGAAATATTTTATCATCGTGCAATTTAACTACTAGCCAGAAATTCGACTCAGCAATTCGACTTCGATTTTATTCTCCTTCAGAGATAAATTATAGAATAGTAATCGAACAAATCCACGATTCGTGAAGTTTCCTTTGAGAATTTTTCAACGTTTGCAGTACGACTCTGAAGTTGCCAGAAAACATCGCGGTTTTTATTTCTTTCCAAACCAAGTCGTTTCTTTCAGTATAATACATCGGCGACGCAATGTTGCAATTCCATTTGTCAAAATTATGTTCGGAAATATGAAAAAGTGTCCCCTTTTGGTCTGTAGCAGCGTATTACATTTGAAAAGAGAAATACTCGGAGCGCAATTCTGCCCGAGCATATTTCACTCGGCCATTTCTCTCATCGACGGGCACGCTTCCCCCTTTAAATATCATTTATCCCGCGATCTCTCGGCGAAACCTCGAAGAAAAAATAACTTTTTCCCTCCCATCTGTATCGCGGTAATCTTGCGCGTCTTCGCTTAACCGCCTGATGCGTCTAGTAACTGTTCTCATTTGTTTGTCCGGTTGTTTAATTTCACCGTGGGATGGAACACTTTCCAGGGTTGTGCGTTTGAAAAAGAAAGAAAATAAAAGGAAAGAAAGAAGAAAACGCGACACTGCATCGTCGAGCGTGAATTTAATACGCTTTAAGTACGAGGAAGCGGCATTTCGTGTTTTTTTTAACTGCGAAACAGCCGGAAAAATGGAGCGTAGATTCTCCGAGTCGGGGAGGACGAATTCGCGTGTCGGTGTTCGCGGTACAATAAACTTACCGCGGGCTTTTCGCCGGGGGAAAAGCGCATTTCACTCGCAACGCGAAAAGAATAATGGCCGAAACGGCGTGGTTAAAAGCGTGCCGCGTTTCTGACTTACGTAAATGCTTGCTTCGTTTATTTGAACATCCGCTAAGAGGGCGAGTTTTCGAGGATCTGGCGATTAATTTCTTCGCGCGATACGATGTATACTTTTCGTATACAAAATTGAAACGAGAAATGAGGATTTTTCATTATTGTAGCGATTTATTATTAGCGTCGAAAGAATGATAATTTATTAATAACTGAATTAAAGAACTGTAACCTTGGTAGGAAAATTTGTTTCACTCGCTAAATATTGTTCATGTTATATAATATAAATACATTCTATACAATTTTGTATTTTAAAATTTCTTATTTCAACGCGCGACAATTTGCAATTTCGTGGCCAGTGGTGGAATTTAATTATCTATTAGTTTGAACGATTGACTTGTCAATGAACCGATCAATCATTTTCATATTATTCTGCACATTTTTTAACAGCCTATCGTTCTCGATTGAAAGCAAGCATTGAAATTGTAAAGCGCGAAACACAATGTCCCATTTTTTTTTGATCGACAACACACCAGTGCCGCAAAGAGTGCGTATAGTCGTAAAACGATCTTTAGAATAAAATCATAAAATCTGC